TAAACCGTTGATACTTCACCATAGTAAATGTACTATCATGAAAAACTGTAAAAATGCTTAGGGCTACGGAAGCGTCTTGTCGTTGCACGTCACAAAAATTGTAATTGACTGCATAAAGGAAGTTAATCGCTCTAGAGGCAACGTAAAGCGCCATATAATTAACTACGTATGATAGATAGCAAGCGAGAATTGCATTGAAAAAGGTCGTGAAAATGGGCACTTAATCCTACAAAAGGTGAAGATTGAGACGATTCTGTCACTCGGTTTAAGCTTTCGTCATAAAGTTAAGCTTAATGCAATGTCGGTTTGCACCAACAGCTGTCAGCTTGTGCGCAGGTAAACGCAGAGCATTCGTACATATGGCACAATCACAGACATGCCACGTACTATTGTGATATAAATCCATGCTATCTTCTACAAGCAGTTACCTATACTACGATGCACATAAGAAACACATATTTCTAGTAAGGAGGGGTGGGTAGGGGTAAAATGAGCTTAGCGTTATCAGTGCAGGCAACTGCTGTTAGGCAAGAGAAAAATATACTGGTATATTTGTCAAAAATCATTCGATTCACTGATGGCTTCAGTTGAATAGGTCTATCGTTGAACAAAGTCAAAGGGAAGACGCTTTTCCTTAGAGAAATGGCTGTATAGTCCAAGTGCAGGCGTATCGACAAGTTGCAATTGTTGTTTAAAAAGCAGAAAAAAAAAACCGTAACCATGTACAAACCATTTTTTTAAAGCTTACTCGACCACGCTGAATCCAGTATACTGCATATAGAACCAGTGTGTATAACTGTTGCGACTATGCATGATTCTGGCATAGATTTTAATAGAGAATTCTAGTCCATTATCGTAATTATGCGCGATGCGGTGCTTATATCGATATCACTGTTTTGTACGAATACTACGTTACGCTAATGAAGTTGTCAGAACTTTGTTCAAAAGCAGTCACGCAACGTTGACACGTTATTGGAAGTAACGTAATACGTGGTACGGCGATTGTGGGAATACGATGTTTTAGCGTGGCCCAAAAAAGTCTATAGATCTTTCAGGATGTAATTAATTAACAAGATGACAATAAACAAAAATATATACCTTAAAATACTGTTGTAAGTATGAGCGCTAGCAAAACAACCTAAGCAATTTATAATCGATCGCATCAAACTATGGAAAAACAACGGTCCAGTTAACAACGACCACTGGACTGCTATAGAAATGTACCCTAAAAATGCCCTAAGACAATTACATCGCGCCATTGGTTAAGTGTCTATGGAAAAGTTACATTCCAGCAATGGATCTGGATAGGAAAAAATAATTCCATTAATGGTATCTTGAAAATTGTTCTTGGAAAGGATTTTTTGGCACTATGAAGCTACATTTAAATAAAATGGCAAAAGTAGAAGACATAGTTGGATTTCCTGGGAAAACTAAATTTATATAAATTATTGATGTATGGTAGTATTGCATTTTAAAAAATCGATTAATTCGACAAATTTTTTAAGAAAATTTTTAACTCGAATTTTTTACTACTCGTTTGAGCTGGACTTCGGTCAAAGGGGCTAATTTTACTTTTAAACAGGATAAAACACTCGCATGCTGACATCGTGGTGTAAAAACGTAACATGAAGAGAATTTTTAAATCAGATGGGTCAAAAGAAAAAGAAGTCTGGACCTGGTGCCAATAAGCCTTTTCTAGTGGAAATATCTCAGAGATCGAGTCTACAACGGAAAGCGGATGACGCCGCAATTGAGTAAGAACGCGTCACAACGCCAAATTAAACGTTTTTCGAGGTTTATCAATCCACAGCCCATCGCTCTCGGCGGTATATTGACCAGAACGGTAATAATTTTGAATATCCTCGACAGAAGCAGTAGTTACGTTCGCTTGATATTATTTTGCAGTTTAAATATGAATTACATGTCAAGGTCAAGATCACTCTTTGTGCAGATGATACATTATGAGTGCCATTTCATCTTGGCCCCCACGGTGGTCCTGTAATATAACATACCGTAACGACTTTTATGTAACGCGAGTTAAGAATGTAGTTTTGGAGCGAGAAGAAAATACTCAGCTATCCCTCATAGCTTCACTTTATGATATTGGACAACAAAAAAAATCAGTAAAGCAAGTTCTGCATATGGAGTATCAATCATATGGGTCTGTTTATCTATCTTAGAAAACCTCATATAATTTTCTCTTTCTTTGTTTTCGTTCACCCATTCAAAGACTTGGTTAAATTAGTTTCTTTAGATATAGACTATCCGTCACTAAATAATGGGCCATTAAATGCTTCCTTGTAGCTATATCGGCCTTCAATTGAGACACGTGTGTCGCAAAAGCTGATAGCTGATTGCATTTAAAACAGCCCTAAGGAACTTTGCCCGCACACGTTCTGTGGTCTTCTAAGAAAGCCCCTGTTCCACATCGCCTCGCTAATGTCCGAGTGTTTCAGAGGTCTTTCAGTTATCGATGTGTATGAAGGCGTTGTCAAGCAACGACCCGATCACTGATGCTCTCTGCCGCAGCATTGGTCAAATTTAAGCTCGCCTCCTTTGCCTAAACCTCTGTACGCTCATTTGACGAGTCGCGTTGCAGTTCTCATTGTGTGTGTCGAATAGTATTGCACTCTCGCCGCTGCCCCTGTCTGCCTCTACCCATACTTGTACGTGGAAAAAGCGAGGGGAGCTGACGGGATGGCAAGTCGTCGGATCGGCAGCCCAGATGCTATTTGACGAGATGCTCTCTTCGTCACTGCGACCACTCTTCTACTGGGTACATCGGGCACTGGATAGAACAGTGCGGTGATTCGGCGCAGTCGAGAAAGCTAGACGGGTGTCATCATTGAGAGCCTTCAGCTTTGAGAAGAGCGTATATAGACAGAACGGAAAGCACAATCAGTGGAACCTCATCGAATCAGCGCATCACACTTACGAACAGTGAGATAGACACAAAGTCGCAGAGTTCCACTGAGAAGTTCAAGCCGCGAGTGACGACACACGCTACTCGTGTGATGGTATTGAAAAAAAAAAGAGATCCATCGCAGGGGCAGTGCCAGCGGCGAGGGCGGCTACGGGCAGCCGGGTCCTAATGCGGTAATGCTGCCACCTCACTAAAGCTCAGAAAGCTTAGCTCACTAGCTGACACCCACTTGCCATGAGCATGACACGAACGACAAGAAACCGCGGGCTGCAAATTGCAATCTTCCAAATCGAAGTAAAGAAACCAAGTGAGGACCGAGAGAGGAACGCAGGACTTGCCCCGTATTATCAAGTCTACTGCCACAATGGCTAAGGCAATAGGATGGAAGGAAAAAGTAGCACAGAAGTGTGCGATTCAACGAATGGGGTTTCCGCCTGATAAAAAGGCGAAGATGCTGAAGCCAACGAAGCCAGCCACGGCAAAACTAGAAGCTAGACTCAGTTAGATGTGGGAGGCTGGCGGGACGCAGACATCTGCACACCAAGGGAATTCTTGAGCAGATAGTAAGGAAAGCCGTGATATTCATATGTATCGGGAACGAAGATTTTTGAGCTGGCTGGCCGGAGTTAGGAGATGACAATTTCTTGCATGTACCGTGCTATTTGCTGGGATTTAGAGTGCAGACAGGAGGACCAAAAAGGGTATAGAGTATTACAAAGAAGTACGAAAATGTCTATTAAAGGGTGCCACTGGACTGTCGGCTTCATGAGCGTCTTTGCGACAGTTGCCAAGGTATTTCGTTTATAAGGTGATACCTGCGAAGACAGTGTTTAGTCCGTACGACAATGTAAATAGCTTCATTGGTTGAAGGTAAAGCTCTAGACAATGCGATCCGTCATACTTACGAACCTTTTCATGGCAGTTAAGATATACAAGTAAAGGATCATGGGCATCGTGCATTTCGGTTTGAAAAACGTTAAAAAGTTTATCAAAATGCCCGCGATTTTATTTATGTTCAACCAGACGTTAGTGATCCTCATCTTAATAAACTAACATTTTTCTAAACTAGTAATTTTTGCGCCGATTTAGCAGGTTCAATGTACCACTTTTCCTAAAAACTTTACTTCCTAAAGCAAGCCTATTATATTTATGTTCCAGAAAGTTAGCTAGCAACAAAATAGTAACAGTAAAACATTCGAATGGTTCAGAAGAGATTATTTGATTGTTGTAGATTAAGATCTCGACTATAATCAAGATTCAATCGACCTTCGATAATTTTGTTAAAAAATGGGTTGCTTGAAGCGAAACTACTGTGATTGTAACATATCCGTTCCTGGATTACTGAGAGCACCCTGCTGAGAACGTTAATCAGTGGAAACAAGCTGCCACGTCCGGCACGATCTATCATTGTATTTCTTCCTCGAGCCATCTGTCAAGGTTAGCTGAGCTTAACAACTTTCTCAGCTAGAGCGACATGTGTCTCAGCAAAGAGGCAGTAGTTATTGTGGATAGTTGTAGGATATCTCGGGAACTTAAATCCCATATTGGTCCGTGTGTTCAATGAAGGCCTTCTGCCTTAAGTTCGTTGGCAGTAGTAAGAGAGATATGAGTCCTGATATCCCACTGGCCTTTATGTTTGCTCATCCTTCCTCATCATCGGCATAATAACCTACGCTAAACGAATAGGACACTCAACTGCAGGAGCCAATGCCAGTATCTGACGCTAGGACTTCTGAACCTGCAGTTATTGTCGTATAGCCCATCTATAATCAATGCTAACTTACCGTGATTATCACCAGTGGACTATTATCACTTCCATCTATTTTCAGCTGTTGTCAGTGTTGCACCAGATTGTCTAGAAAGTGGTGCTCAGTTTATGCTTTTAGCCCTGCTCATATCATTTTCCAACAGTACCTATGGGTTATTGTTCTTTACATATTGAGAGCAGTTCCAAAATGAAGTACATGCGTGAATGGGTTCGCGTTTGGGTTAATAACAGACTAAACATTTAATCAAAAGAAGAAACCCTTCAATCATTCAAGCTTGTTACTCATTATCAGGTTTGTTCAGATTGGCAAGTAGAGGCAGCGGTGGCGCAATCCGTAGTGCTGAAGATACATCACCGCCTCCATCAACTAAGCGTTTGCGGAGAGACACTTGCTCCCAGCTGACGATCAATAACAACTGCATTGTGACAAGCATATTTGGCTTGATTCCGTACACCGATTTTTATGTGTACACCCCCGTTTCATCTGTCAGCTAGTCATACCTTTGGTTTTCGTGTGGATATCTGTATGCCGAAGGAGTTTTCGATGCAATAGCAGTTGCTAATATGACCGCTCCTGTCATAAGACGCTAAGAACGATGGCAAGTTACATGTAAATTTTTCCTTAGCGGCGTATTCTACAACTTCTGGCGCTGTTTTACGGCTGGTTGGCTGGAGTATGTAGCGTCGTCTATGAGAAAAGAATTACAAATTTCAGGTTTGGGAAATGAGGGCATAGAAATGGGTAAGTTGAACAATTCGAAAGATAGAGTACCCAAAAACCAACGCGGTAGGTATACGACACGTAAACCTAGGTCTCTGGCTCACGAGAGGAAACGCTTCTTCCTTGATGGCGAAAAGCAGTACGGACAAAATGGATTGCGATGAAAGCAATGCTGTGATCTTCGCCGCCTCTCTCATGCCATGCCTTTAACTTGCTTTTGTCTATTGTAGACTTCGGGGGGATGCTGGAGTTTTTCGTTAAGTTTGGCATAAACGGTGCCAGGAAGGCAGGACAGAAAGCGATGGTTTACTGCATTTACTGCAAAAGAATAGAATGAGGTGATCGGCGCGACACAAACAGGAAGCCCACCGGCAAAAGTACTTTAGGCAGCGGGCAGCAAAATGGGGAGGGCAAGGTTCAAGCAGCGTTCGAGTCGCTACCGTGACCGCCATCGAAGAATCGTCGACTCCAATCTTGTGCTTGAACGACAGAACTGGGTATTGAGACGCAAACAGACGAAAAAAATATCCACCGAGGAGGGAAAATCGGAGACTAATTTATGAGCACGACTTAAAGGGATTCGTATGGCATTGGATTGGTCGTTGCTTTGCCAACGGCTAAGAGTTACATAAATGCCACATCTTCACTGCATATAGCTTGGACATATATTCTATAAACAGTGCATGCAGGAGGTGAGAATAAATTATTTGAGGTGAGAATAAATTATTTCCGAGAACACTTTCGGAAAACTGTATTGAAGGCGACGTTTTTTAAATCCACTCACTCATTTTCTAGTAGTAATCTATATTTCCAGTTTTTCGTAGAACAGATCCGAAACTTTAGTCGCAAATGAAAAACATCTAATATTGTGAACATTTATTTAATGTTGCCTGATTAACAACAGTGACCTTACACCTCGTCTCACATGAATTAACGCTGTAGTTAGTTGTTTTTGAAATATATCCATCCGGCTAGTACAATTACGTTCAACCGTCCGCAAACCATAATGCCAGCAAAGATTAAAATAAATAAAGGAAATCTTGACGTCTTTACCCGGCCGCCCTTGCTTTCACTGACCTTCGGCAAAAAAATTCGACGAACGTACAAAGCATTACGCGACGATGTCCTGGTTTCCGTAAATGTTGAGAGGCCGGAAGTTCGGTAGTGTACGTATTGCTAGCAATGTTACACACGATAGCCGAAAGCTGAGCATTTTGAATGTGTCAGATGCATCACTGTTGCCCACAATTGGCAATGACAACCTTTTTTTTGGTTCTGCCACTGTTTGAACCCAGGGCTTCCATTTCTCTCAGGACGTCCATGCCCTCAATAACCGAGCCAAACACAACGTGTTTGTCATCTAACCATGCGGTTTTTGCAGTGCACAAAAAAAACTGAGATTTGTTCGTATTTGGACCAGAATTAGCCATTGAAAGGGTACCGAAGCCTGTGTGCTTTAAGATGAAATTCTCGTCCTCGAAAGGTGCACCATATATCGATGATCCTCCTGTTCCGTTACCTTTAGTGAAGTCTCCACCGAGGCACATAAATTTCGGAATGATGCGGTGAAACGTTGATCCCTTGTATCCTTTACCTTTCTCGCCGGTGCAAAGTGCCCGGAAGTTTTCAGCAGTCTTCGGAACGATATCTGAGCGAAGTTCCATAACGATTCGCCCAAGTGGCACACCGTCAGCCTCAATATCCATGAAAACACGAGGAAGTGCAGCCATCTTCAGGGTCTGCCTAACACTACACCGACTTTGTAATTTAGGTGATCACTACACAATCTTTAGCCAAATAGCGCCCAAATAAGCTATTAGCTATAGTCAATACGCACCTACGTGTTTTATATGCAGTTTCGTTGTTAATTGTAAAAAAGCCGTAGATCATAAGGACTGAACAGGATTTACGTCTCATGATCGTTCGAGCAACTATGAAAAATAAATAATTTTCTTTATACACTAGAAGTCAATAAAAATATTTGCTTATTTTTAAGATATACTGGCGAAAGAACAAGCCCTTGAAACAAAAGAATGGATTTAAAGTCTTATAATGGTTGAAAAAGATGAATGTATATTTAAACATAGGTTGAAGATTAGGGATGAGAGAACTGGTTTGTGCCGAGATAGCTGGAAACCCATTGTAACTGCGTCACCAGGTGTATGGTTAGCAACATTGCAAAATCGATCGGCATACCCGGAAGCACTAAAGCACAACCTGGTAGTTTAAGTCAGTAATAATGAAGCTGAGCAATCTTGATGTTTACTAGACCCACACTCATACCGTTATGTACTCACTTCGTTAAATTGTCGCCGCAAGACTCGATTCAATGTATTACATCTACACGTGTACCTAGGTAGACTTCGTGTATTTACTTGCATAGGACCTCGTATTCGACAGTACAATATATTAGCAGAGAATACGTCATTTCTAATCATCGATCTTGTGATTAAAGCACATTTTCTCGCACAACATAATTGCATAAATGCACAACAAACATAAAGATAATACTCACGCAGCAACGTATCCACACAATGGTCCGCACGTTGGGTCAGCAAAGGGCTCAAGGGGAAGTGGCCTAACCGGTTCTACTTATTACGCATTATACATTATGTGTGCAAGCGCTACCGTATAGCTTTTACTCTGTCTGCAACACTATATGTCTACGCCTTTAAGCACAAGTATATACGCACACGAATTTTCCTTCGTCTGTCAACGTTTATTTGTAAATGCGTATGTGTGCGTTAGAAGTGAATGACCAGACCAATCAGCGTACCACTGTTACAGCGATGTTCTTTTTCAGCAAGTGATGATGCCAAATACTGTATTTGCCGCCAGCCTTGTTGCTGCTACTACTGTTTCTCGAGGCTGCTTTGTCCTGAACGTGCTTCAGGGCTGTTGGGTTGATTGTGTTGGTTTCCACGAGTGAGCTACCACAAACGGGTGTCGGTTCTATTCCGCACGCTTTTCTGAGCCGCTCGTGTTTTATGCGTTTCCGCCTGGCCTAGAGGCGGGTTTGCAAACAGCGACCAACAGGTCGGCCGGTAAGGCACGTGGGAGCGATGAGGAAGATGAGGCCGACGCTGAGAGCTCTGGCAGCTCGACAGCAGCTAACGAGCTACTGCTCAAGGGCGGGTCGTGGTGGCGTCGAAGAGCAACCCTTCACTACCCCTATTACCTTCGTCTTACTATCCATTCCCCTCTGACCCATATCCCTCTTGTGTCTCTTAGGCTCTTTGAGCCACACAGTCGCCAACAGCCGCATCGTTCGGCATGGTTGTTGCTGCCGCTGTGGCAGGTCTTCGAAGGCCGCTAAGTTCACACAGCAGTAGTAACTGCAGAAGTATATTGGCGACTGTTGGCCCCCGTGCAACGAGCCAAACTCGACATTGGGTTGGTTTTACTCGTCGCGCTCTCGAGAATGGTGAACATTCAAGTTTTTCTTCCCTTCCGGCAGCGAGCGACTCAGCAACTTTTGCTTACTCTTACTGCGCTTGCCTTAGCTTCACTTCAGTAGAGAACGGGTACCGGGGTGAGGGTAATCCTTGAGAGGCTCAAGAAGACCGAGGGTTAGGATGGAGTAACTACGCTGCCTGGAACTGGTTTAGCACGCCCTGCGTCCCGCTGCTTTGGCTGACTTAGCCTTAAATCAACTCGACAATCTCTGCGACGGGCTGTGCTGCTTCCGGGCTTGTTTGCTACAGCTAGTGCATGCACTATAAGCAACAGTAACTCAGCACCAGCTCGTTACCAGCAAAGCCTTTTGGCGCAAACGATCCTGTTGCCCTTGCAAGCAGACTGGCAGGCATGCTGCTAGTTAGTAACGTTCGTTCGTACGCAGTTACTCGGACATACACTAGCACGCATCAGCCTTTGGTCGTTTGGAGTTACCTCGCAGTTGACCCATTCCCTTGAACCAAGACCAAAGTCTTACCATGTCGCTCTAGCACTTAGAAAGAGCAGTGCGAAGGGCAGCAGGGTCCGCAAAGAGCGAAATACAAGTAGGAGAGACACAGCATACGAGAGATAGATATGCCAAAACCCTTAACTTCTATTATACCTTTGTCGGTTGGCTGATGGCAGAGGACTAAACTGTCGCTTTTCGACGAGCGGACGAGTGGCGGGCGGCACCGCCGGATGTGCTGGCGTTAAAGATGGCCACGGCTTCTGGACTGCACGACAGTGACGAGGGAGTTCTGATCCTAGTCCTTGTGACGATATACAGTTGTCACTGGCGTCTGCGGAAAGCTTGCTCTTTTACGGTGACACTTATCTGACACAATAGTGTGTGGAAGCCAGGCAGACCAGCCAACTATTTTGTCTCTATTTGACGGTGTTAATCATTTTATTCGACAACTTGCTATTCTCGTTCATGCTGAGAATATGTATAAAGGTCGTTCGGCGCGGGACTCATTTATGGGTTAGTGAGATAGCATGTAGGTCCTGTTAGATTTCTTGATGTACCTATTGCAATAAACATTTAAGAATTTCATGCATACAGCTTGTTCGTAATGATTATTATTGGTAGAATAGAAGAGGTATAAATGAGGATAGAATAGCCTGTGATGGTCGTATGCATGATCGGTGTCCGTAAATTATAAAATCTGTGATTCAACAATAGCAATGTTCTGTTGTTATAGTACTGATTGATGATAAAACGCTATGCTTTATTAAGATATTATTCAGTACGTTTATTTTTTTTTGTTAAAAACACAATTTATTGAGCATTGCCCCCCTCAGACACCTTCCCCTTTTTCTCGTCATGGAGAAACTCGGTATAGGTCAGCGTATGTTGTTTGTCAGAAGCACCGGACCGTTCTTTTTGAAGAAAAGAAATCCATACCGAAGAGCCTTTATTCCTTTATTCTTCCTTGATGTAAACGATATGCAGCTTCAACAAGATGATACAAGCTGTCGCACTTCGGTGAAGACCATTTGCTGTCTTCATACGATATTTCCTTGCTGTGCACTCTCCAACTTGCCACCCAACTCCTCTGATTATGAACCCCCGTTATATATACATATTATATTTGAAATTATTTTGAGTTTGAAATATTGAAATTCACTGGCCTATAGGTCATCGATATCCTGTTAGGTTGAAGGACGGACGAATATTCCATACACTCCATGCGCGCTTGTAGTTCGTCAAAACCATCCATCAAAATGCTTCCTGTATTTGTCAGTTAGTTGTAAGCTGTCAAGTGTGATTCGCTACTTGTCCACTGCGGACGAGGGTCGTTACAAACGGTACGCAACTAACCAATAAGTGGTAGATAGAATTTTTCTATACTTTAGCGTTACGCTAGTTTATCCAGTTTACCTGAGCAAATGTTCTGCAGCATTTTATGTATTTTTAGATAAATTAAATGTTCGTTTGTGAACAGAAATTATGTAGTGATTACATTGTGACACTATTAGAGCTGCTCCTATCAAAAGTAAACGCTTCAAGCTTCACGCTTTGTACTGCCGTCAAGTATTGCGTCAGATTAGTATACAAGACAAAATGCGTCTGCGTTCTTCTTCTTACTGCTGCTCTTGCCGCTACCACAGCTGCTAAGGTGCCTCAAGCATCTTTATCGGATTTGCTACCGGTCGTCAGTACAGCTTCCTGTCTGTGTGTCAGACGGAAGGTAAAACATTGTCAGGCTGACACCCCGTCTTGCGTTAAAGGCTGTGATAGACGGTTCAGACCTGTCTCAACATTGCTTGTACGTCTCAATCGAATCGGGAGATGACCGTTTTAGTTACTCATATTGAACGTACGGATAGCATTAAATGACGTTTCTCTCTAGTGGATAAATAAGAGTGGATTTTTGCCGAGACCGGCGACGATCTCTCGATCTTCAACGATTCTTCCTGGTTCACTCCTGACTCCTGAAATAGAAAAAAAAAAGAGGAAACCAATGTTTGAAAACGAAAAGGGAATCGTTCGGGAAAAAGCACGTTGTCTTTGTGAATATCAAGTGAGTCCCACTGAGGAAGTGTCTTGAGATTGAAGACTTTTTGCTATAATATATTTTTACTTTCACACACGTGGAGATATTGTTTCGTCAGGTCTTCGCAATGCAGAAACAACAAGAACGCCTAATAATGTCCATACCTATTTTGGCCGGCAGCGAGATTGGGGGGCACGCAGATGGATACAGTCGTAGGAAATAATAATAGGGAGATTTTTAGGAATATTTAATTGAGTTACTGCAATAGTATGTGCAGCATCCATACATATAACGTAACTACAAGGCCAGTTATGATAATCTCGCATGGGTACTAATTATCGCATCGATTACGGATCAATATTCTTGATACTAACGAGTGTTTTTCGTTTGTTCCACGAGTGCAGGAACTGGCTAACCTTTTTATTTGCAAAAGATGTTATGTTGGTTATTGTCTGGAAGTGACTCTCGAAACCTGTCATAAATCTAACATCTACGGTAGGTTTCTGAGCTTTTTCCTTTTTTTGACATACGTAACCTTCGCAATATCAGCGAGCATATCGCCCTTCATTTGTATTCTAACCTTTTTGTAGGTTTAAAGATTACACATTTGCATATTTATTGAACTCTATATTTTAATGCGGTACACATATTTATTGAAGCAAATACTCATTTAGAATCCGCTTGGCATCATGTTTATTGCCTACCGTTTGAGCAGCTATATTATACATATTTGCCTGTTACCCACGATAACCAGAGATGATTCTATTTGCTCGCCATAGATTGCTCTATTAGGTTTTTATTTCTCTTCTGTTGCCTCCTGTTACGTAAGACTTGCAATTAACAACTGCGTTCATTGCCCACCTGTCATATTTAGGAATGCTAGAAAAAATATAAGAAGGCTACAAGTATTAGGGCCTACGCCTATAC